ATATATATATATATATATATATATATATATATATATATATATATATATATATATATATATATATATATATGTGCCAGTGCATGTGTACCTATGTGTGGAGCTAGCGTGGCCTGAAGTGCCCGCGTACTAAGGGTAAGTCGAAGGTTGGGGTGAATAGAAAGGGGGGGGATATCCCTCGCCAATTCTTATTTCTTTTCCTTAATGCGATTCATCTTGGTGGAACGATAAAGTTCCGGGCAGGAGGGTCAGCGTGTTGCTGGTGATGCGCTAGACAACTCACCACCGCTCCAGACTCCCTCCTGCCCTAGGGGCCGTCTTGCCCCGCACCCGTTGGGACACCTCAGGGTGCAGAAGACGGAAAGGCCCTCAGGCCGGTTTTGCCCGCGCTAAAGGGTTACCCCCATTGACTCGCGCTTCAGCCAACGCCTCAGCGTCGAAAGGGGACCCCTTGGCTCAGAGCAGGCCATTTAGGTGTGGGCACTACACAATGCGCCGTCATCGCGGTTACTCACGTAGAACTGCATAGCGAGATAGTATGTGTAAGTCCAGCGCCCTCGCGATCTTATACAAAGTTCGCGCGCGGCACTCGCCGCATCCCGCACTACAAGAGTCATGGGTCGGGCGGCGAGATTACGAGTGCGACACGACCAGTAAACTTGGGGTTTTGGTAACGTGAGGCGGCACGTGGGCGGAGGACTAGCCCCGGTCAGCCTTTGGGGGTCCGTGTACGGGCCTCATTATCTCGGACGCCGGGTAGCCTATGGATAGGATACCGGACCTCCTCCACGAGCGCGTCGTTTGGGCTTATCCACCCCCTTTCCATTTAGAGGGACATCAGCTAATGGGGGTTGGAGTGAGTCTCCTTTTTTGCGTTTTCATGGTTGGACGTTATAGTCTGTGGCGGCCGTCAAAGTCAAACCCCTTGATGTTCAACGGCCACGACAGCTTAAAGTTATCTACTCAACCCCTTTGCCCAGGGTGCAGAAGAGGGTGTGGTCTCCAACCGCGCACGGCGGTTGTCCAGCGTCGAGAGATTAACCCTTAAGGCGCGTGTCAGCCGACATTTGAGTGTCGAATGCGACCCTCGAAATTAACGAGGGTCGCACGATTATGGGCACGACATAGTACGCCATCATTGCGACTGCTTGTGTACGTTTGCATTGCGAGTCGATATGAGTTAGCCCCGCGTCCGCGCGGTTTTATACTAAGTCTCGCGCGCGACCCCTATCCGATCTCCGCATTGGAAGGTTATGGGTTGGCTACCGAGGGACTAGGAGCGTTGTTGCGTTGTCCGTGTTGTGTCGTTTGTGCAATGTGTGCGAGCGCGTATGTTATGTCTTCGTGTTCGTAGAGTGGTGTGCGCGTGGTGTGTGGGATGCGTCCTAGTCGACCGACGTCGAGCCACGCTTGGGACTTCAGCCCCCCCAGGATGTCGGCCCGCGTGCGGGTCCGATAGGCGTATTACCGCGCGTACCCCCTACGCTACAACGAACAAGAAACGCCCTCGGCTGGTCCACCTCTGCGATTGCAACCGAGTCGCTTTCGTACTGTGGACTTGTAGCTCGGCGGGGATACGCCCACCGAAGGGAGGTGACAGCTCCCGTAAGGTGGAGGTAAGTTGTGCCTCGCGTAGGCCCTATCCTGTCGTAGGGGCTCGCGAGAGGTATGGCTGGCGCACTCGGCCGGAGCAGCCTAAGGAAGCTCCATTTGTGTGTTCGCGACGAGGTTGGTCCAACTCCTGCGTGACGCGGCCGAGAGGGTCCCGCGCTGCCACGTGCGATGCCGGACCGATGCGCTCGACAGATGGCACCGTTGCCGGGGATAACGGAAGCCTACCGTTGTCCCTGGTGGAACGACATCCGCGTAATATGAGAATGAGAGAGAACTAGGCACGTGAGCAAATAAGAGAAGAACTATGAGATGGGTCATATAGTAGTCTATATGGCAGTGTGGGTATGAATGTTGATCTAATTGGTGGTTTGGTTGATGGTATGAACGAGGCGAGTATGTAAGTGAATTTTGTAATGAGAATGGGCCTTGCTTAAGTGAACCTAAGGGAGGTAGGAAGTAGAGGGAGAGATGCCTGCCAGGTCCAGAGCGTTGGGTGCTTAGGTGGTCGGTCCGATAGGATCGGGAAGGGATGGACTGCTGAGTGGAACCTTTCGTCCTATCGCTTCTTATAACAGGGGGATTGAAGTCGAAGGCAGTTAATCGAAATGTCTGAGGAGATGGCGGACGGTGGGAGAAAACTTGTAACGCTTGACGACCTCATCGATGCCCTGGATAAGCGCGAGAGAGCGCCGAGCAATGTCCCGAAGATCGATACCTTCCACTTCAAGGGAGAACGGGTGTCTGACTGGCTGGACCTGACGGAGCAAGCACTGGTGGGGTTGTCGGACGAGGTCAAGCTCCAGCGAGTCTTAAGATATGTCCTTCATAGCCACCATCAGGAAGTGGGCAAGGTTGTGGATGCCGCCAATGGTAGTTGGGCGAGGTTTAGGGACATGATGTAGAGAAAGTACAGGTTGGGGGATGGCTTGCAAACCATGGCGGATTTGGAAGCCATGAACAAGGATGACTTCTCCACGATTGGGACGTTTGTGCACGAGTTTAAAAGTAAGGCGCGGAAGGTGCACGGGTTCTCCAAAGAAACGCAGTGTGCCATATTCTTGGGTCTGCTTACTGGCTCGGAGGCCTCGGAGCTGACGGGTCACGGAAGGGGAAGTGAGAAACTCACCTGGCCCACTATCGACAAAGGGGTGGAAGAGGGGAGCCTGGACCAGGTGCGGTTGCAAAGGCGCAAGAGAAAGGAAACGAACGCCACTGCGTCCGGGACCCCAGGGGTGAAGAGGATCGTCACGGACGTATTGGCAGCACGGGGGTATGATAATGAGGTGGAAGTGCAAAAGAGGCGAGTGACCGTGGCCCAAGGTCGGGCGTCGGGGGCAGTGGAAGAGGAGGCTAGGCGCGAGGACTATGGCGGAGAAGAGACGGGCTCCCAAATCCTAACCAAGGCCTAGAGGAAGCAGCGGAATTTACAAGTGGGGGGTTAAGGATCCGGAAAAGGGCAGGTCCCGCAAGCGATTGCTGCGCCGCCACCTGCTGCCACGACAACGTCGGCGACGACCGGGCCGTCATGTATGGGGCCGCCGCTGGCTTGTGGGCAATGGGTGCCGCATTGTGAGCCTGCATCCTGGCCCAGTTGCAATCACTGCACCTCGTGCGGGGGTAGTCAAACTCAGCCCGGGCAAATGATCCCTTATGCGAGCCCAGTGGCAAGTATGGGGCCCTCGAGCTACCCTGCGGCTCAGGGTCAGTTTGTGGCCCAACCACCTCCCTCCCAGCAGGCCTCGCAGGCTAGCGTGGCCAGGGAAGGAAACCACGGACAAGGTGGACAAGGCAATGGAGGCCGAAGTCAAGGGGGTCGAGGAGGTGGTGGCCGGGGCCGAGGAGGAAATGGTGGGGGTCGCGGAGGTGGTTGGAATGGTCAAAGGGGCTAGGACCAAGGTGGCTGAGGCGGCCAAGGAGGGGGCCAAGGGTATGGGAGGCCCCGCTTTGATTGGCGAAATGCCACCTGCTGGCACTGTGGCGATGTAGGCCACACCGTGCGGTTCTGCAAGCGGCGGCGGGAGGATGAATTGTCAGGGTTAATCTCCTCTTGTATGGACGGGGACATATATGATAAGTGGGGTGAGCATATTGACCCCAGGAGCCCGGGAGGAATCAGGCAAGAGGCTCTCCGGCGAGCAGCAGCGGGGCCCACAGCACCCCCGACGATGTTTAGAATGTGGCAAGAGAAGGAAGAGCCGACCGTAAGGGTCGAGGAGATTATGGGGGATAAAGAGGAGGTCAATCAGCGGCTAATGGCAGGGACTATAAGGGAGGAGCCAATAGTCGTTGAATCGGATGATGAGGGGCAGGAAGGTGAAGGAGAGCCGGCCATACTCCTCTTGGGGAGGATGGAAGAGCTGCTGGAGAAAGTGGGGAGATACCAGCGGAAACTGCAAGCCCTGTGTGAAGAAGCCCGAGAGTGGGAGGCCAACCTGCCTGAGGTCTTTCTTTATAACTCCGGGCCAGAGCCTTCGCCAGGACAACAAGGGTGCCCAAGAGTGGCGACTGTAGGGACGGTCCCTAGGTCAGGTATGACCTACAGACCCCCCACGTCGCATGGGAGGGTACCGCAGGCGGCTCGGACTAGGAGCCAAAACAAGGTTGGGCCTAGCCAAGAGCCCCGTCAGGCACCCCCTCGAAAGGAGCCTGAGCCAGAACATAGGAAAGAGATGGTGGAGGTCCCGGAGGAAGAGGAAGAGGATGACGATGAAGAGGATGAGAGGCTCCGACAAGAGGAGGATCAGCGGGCGGAGATGAGGGCCAAAAAGAGAGGAGCCCGGGAGGAGGCCGAGCCGAACCTACCCGACAGCGTACCTAAGAGGAAGAAGTACGCGGTTCGGATGGAGGAAGGTTTTGATGTCGAGCGGATGGTGGACAAACTCCTGGAAGGCCACAATGACCTGATGAACCTGAAGGACATCCTGGCGTTGGCACCAAGGCTCCGTGGTGAGTTGAAAGGGCGACTCTCGCGAAGGTTGGTGCCAAATGTCCATCTGAGCACGGTCCTGCCCAGGGAGGTAGAGTGGACTGAGGCAGGGACAAGGATGGATTGGAAATGTGTGGCGTGCGGGAAGGTGGATTTGGTGATAAGGAACCAGAAGTGTACTGGGATGGTGGACACGGGCGCAAAGATGAACATTATCAGGGAGAAGGAGGCGGTGATGATAGGCATGGAGATCGACCGCTCGGACCATGGCATGCTGCACGGCGCTAACTGCAAGGCCGCCTTTTGCGACACAGCGTCAAATGTGATTATAGAGATTGGGAAGGTGCGAGCCAGGACTTGCTTTTTCGTTATGCCCGATGTCGATCACCCCATCCTTCTGGGGCGGTCGTTTCTGTGCCGGACGGGAATGTTAATCTTCAACAAGCACGACGGGGCAATGATCCTGCTCCTGTGCGACCCGGCGTGTGGGAATTATGAAGTTATCACCTGCCAGAACACGGGGCCGGGGAGCAGAAGGAATAGGCCCAATCTAGGCTCGTTCACCTTTGAGGAATCAGAGAACAAGTGGAGACGGCTTTGGGAAGTGCCCGAGGAGGAAGATAGGGTTGAGGTGCTGACATTGAGCCTCACGAATGTGAATAAGGCCATGGAGGTGGTATCGGCTCACGACATGGCGGATCCAGAGGCCATTAAGGCATTGAGGGAACAGGTTTTGGAGAACCTTCAGGTGGGGGAGATGGAGTTGGTGTATCGGCTTCCGGGAGGGAGGAAAGGCCCTGCGATGGCCCAGGCCCGAACGACAAGTCGGCCTTTTTTAGGGGAGGGCTTAAGCAGGGTTCCCAAAGGCGGTACAAGACCATAGATAAGAAGTGTCGCCCAGTTCCCGTGCTCGTCACAGAGGATGAGGAAGCCTATTACGAGCGGGAGCGAGGATTGATACGGCGTATGCGGGAGCATGCGTTGGCCGGGCCGTGCCGTATCAATGACGAGAATGAGGGAAAACTGATAATCGGGGAGCCCAACTTCCTGTCGCCCCAGGAAAGAGCGTTGATGATGGGACTGATAAAGAAAAGGCACCGCGCGTATGCATTCAATGACGATGAGCGTGGGAGGCTGGATGTGGACAAGATTCCGATGATACGAATTCACACAGTTCCGCACGAGCCATGGAATTTAAGGGGCGTGCGGTACCCCAATCCGAGCGAGGAAAAGATGGTGGTGGACTACCTGGACGGCAAAATGCGAGCGCACGTGGCCGATTATTCCAGTGGGCCGTACGCATCGCCTTGGTTTTGTTTTATTAAACCAAATGGGACGCTAAGGTGGGTGCAGGACTTGCAACGACTAAATGCGGTGACAGTGCGGGATGCGGGAAGATTGCCGAACGCGGACGCATTGTCAGAATCGTGCGCAGAGAGGCCTATAATCTCGCTTATAGACCTCTACTCGGGGTATGACCAATTACCCGTATACCCGCCAGACAGGCCCGTAACGGCAATGCACACTCTCAGAGGGCTGATTCATATGAACGTGGCGCCTCAAGGTTGGACGAATGCAGTGGCCATGGTGCAAAGGCATATGATCAGAGTCATGCAGACGGTCAACCCACATATCACTCAGCCCTATATCGATGATCTGGTGGTCAAAGGTCCGAAGAAGAAGGAGGAAGACTAAGTGATGCCTGGTGTGTGGCGTTTTGTCTGGAAGCATGTCCAAGACATCGATCAGGTTCTGGGGTTACTGGAGGAAGATAACTTGACGGCGAGCGGCCCCAAGTCGAAACATTGTATGAGGGAGGCCACGATTCTAGGCTTTGTCTGTAATGAGAGTGGGCGAAGGTCTGATGTAAAGAAAAAAGACAAGATTCTTGAGTGGTCGGTGCCCTTCCGCTCGATAACAGATGTGAGAAGCTTCCTTCGGACGTGCGGATTTTGGAGGAGCTTTGTGAAGGACTTTGCCACGAAGACGGAGCATTTAAGGAAGTTGGTGCGCCAGGATCAAAAATGGGTCTGGGGGGAAGACCAGGAAGAGGCGGTTGGTAGGATGAAGGGAGAGTTTAAGGAAGGAGGCTTGGTATTGGGAGCGCCAAACTATAAGGCCACGAAGGAAAGACCATTCGTCATTGAGACGGATGCTGGGCCAACTGCCTTGGGAGGAGTCCTGATTCAGGCAGATACTGAGGGGAAGGAGAGGCCACTAAGATTCGAGAGTCGTACCCTCAATACAACTGAGAGGAACTACTCTAAGTTCAAGAAGGAGATGCTGACGGTACTTCATTGCCTAAGGACCTTCCAGAATTATGTTTTTGGCAGGAGGCTCATCTTGAGGGTGGACCCTACTGCACTGGCATGTTCCCTGAAGAATTATACTCCATCTGACCCAACCGTCAAAAGATGGTTGACCTACATTTGGATGTTTAATTTCGAACTGGAAAGGATCCCAGGAAACAAGAACAGGGCAGATGGGTTAAGTCGCATTAACTGGGACGGATCGGACGAGGAATCGATAGAAGACACGCCGCCAGTTGATGGGTTTTTGGATCAAGCGGAGGACGTCCATCTGCACATAAACGAGTGGTCCTTACGAGTGCCCAGTTGCGTCAGTCACCCCATATGGCTGGCACCAAAGGGGTACGAGCAGAAGGAAGAGTTAGTCCTCAAGCCCTTTCAGGAGGAGGATCCGTGAGGAAGTAAGGATGTTGGTTGGATGATGAAGTTGACATTGGCAGGTACGCATAGTCTGGTGGAGGAAGTCAAGACAATAGAGGAAGGCCCCACTCAGGTAGAGGAGCATGAGCAGCTAATAGGAGGGATGTACCTGCTCACCAATACACTCCTGCAAGGAGACTTCGACCGGAAGGGCTCGTTCAGTCACGAGGAAAATGAGATTCTGGCTGCTGAAAGCCGAGACGACGAATTCGAGGAAGGAGAAATCAAGGAGGCGTTTCGGGCGGAGGAGTACGATGGGATCTACCGGGAGTTGGGGTTGCTCCTATCATGTGAGATGAGGGATAGAGATGCAAGTGCCAAGGAACAAAAGATGAGGCACCTCTATGTGGTAAGAGACGGCCACTTGTTTATAAAGTGGCAGGTCGGGAACCCCAAGAGGATCGTATGTGGAAGAAACCGGCAAATTGATATCATAGCGGCCCTACACGATGGTATAGCAGGGGGGCACAGAGGAGTAGGTACCACATGCGCAAAGATAAGCGAGCTCTACCATTGGGACGGGATGCTGACGATGGTTATCAAATACTGTCGGTCTTGTATACCTTGCCAAGAGAGGTCAGCGCAAAGGCCTGGAGAACCCCTACACCCAAGGTTAAAGGGAAGTGGGTGCGGTCGTACACCTGGACCTGTTATTCATGCCAACAGGGGAGAATGGGTGTAAACTACATCTTCGATGCACGGGATAACCTTACTGGGTTTGTGGACGGACGAGCTATCCGGACGAAGACTGGCCCGGTTTTGACGAACTGCATCGAGGAGTATTGCCTGCGATACCCTTTTGTCAGGGAGTTCGTGATGGATCGCGGATCAGAGTTTACCTGCAATGAGGTGAGGACGTTGCTTGCAGGGTATGGCGTAGTGGCCAACTATACTACGGCCACACACCCTCAAGCGAACGCTCCTGTGGAGAGAGGGCACAGTACCATCACGAATTTCCTGGCTAAGTGGACAGAGGGCAAGCCTGGTCAGTGGCCGAAGTTCCTACAGCAACTTTCTTCGTGGAGAATGTTACTGTAAAGAGGACTATCAAGCACGCGCCAACCACGCTATGGTACGGGAGGCATGCCACCTTTCCCATAGAAAGCTTTATGAAGACGTGGAGGCGCCAGAACTTGGAGGTAAACCTGTCTTTCGAAGAACTGCTCGATATTCGGGCGCGACAAGTGGGGGCGACCGAAGAAAGATTGCGAGAGGCCGCAGGTCAGGTGGAAAGGAGTCGCATGGAAGATAAGATGAGGTGGGACCAGATGACACGAATAAGAAAGGAGTCATTGGCAGTAGGGGATGTCGTATTATTATACGACTCGTCTTTGGAAAAGCAATGGTCGAGGAAGCTTGACAAGAGATGGTTGGGCCCCTATAGAATATTGCGATGCGGCGAATTTGGGGCCTATCAGATCGAGGAGCTGGATGGGACAGGCTGGCAGGATTGGGTATCAGGGACCAGGCTGAAGAAGTTTGTGGTCAGGGAATAGGTAAAGAATTCTACCTTTCTCAGAGTAGACTGGTCCTTGAGGTATCACATGTTATGGTCAGGATAGGTGAAGGAGTACGAAAAGGCATGTGTATTGTCATAAAAGCTTGATGAACCGAGGGCTAACCTTGTTGTGTGCCTGCTTGCTTCCTCTCGCCTGTTGTGCAGGTCTGATTTTTCGAAGACAGCCATGCAGAGGGGCGGGAGGGGCGCCCGGCCACGGCAGAGGCCTCAAGGAGCATCAGGAGGGGATGACTCGCGCAGACCGGTTGGGAGGGAGTCTACGCCTATCTTCGGCGATGGTAACATAGAGCTTTTTCTGGACTCCTACCAGGCACATGCGACACGAGAGGGCTGGTCTACCTTTGAGAGGATACGACACCTAAGGGGAGTTGGGCGCTTTGAGGAGCCCATTGCGCACATTCGAGAGGAGGCGTTGACATGGCAGGATGTGGAGGCGAGGATGCAGATGCTGAGGGCTTCGCCGATGGGACCGGATGGATTGCCTATTCGATTGGAGGGAAGGCAATGCGGAGGAGTTCATCCCGGCCTATGAGCAGTATATGCGCGACCAGGGGACTGGGCAGGAGGAGTGGATGCAGATGCTGCCCCTCTGGACACGGAGGGCGGAGAGGTCGTTGGCGAGGCAGATCCGGGACAGGGCACACGATTGGGAGGACTGCCAGGCCCAATTGAGGCAGGCATTTCGACGATTGGAGCCCGAGAGACCAGAGTCGAGGGTGGCGAGACGGGCCCAGAGGCGAGAGGGACCACTACGACCAGAGGGGGCCGAAAGGCCTTGGCACAGCGAGAGGGGCCAGCAGAGGCCGCCCAGGCCGTGGAGCCAGGTCAGGTCGCGGGGCCAGCTCAGGTGGCGGAGCTACCCCCTACCTATGGACTCGAGCAGGTGGAGTTTCGCCGAATCACGGGCAGTGATCTACGAGGCCCGTCGCCGACGTTACCAGAGGGGGCAGAGGCGGTGCCGTTGAGGACGCCGCTCGACAGGTTGGAGGCTCATCTCGACGCGTCTCAGTGGGGGGCGTCACAGCTGGGAGCGGACCAGAGCGGATCGGCATGGTATGAGCCAGTAGAGGATGAGCCAGAGGAGGAGCCACCTGAGCCGGGGCCTGAGGCGGGGTCTCGCGAACCCAAGGAGCCGCAGACTGAGGGGGTTATCACTGTTGGGGATGATACCCCTCCTCCGACCCCGATTCTAGAACAGGCGCAGCAGTATTTGCCTGAAGGAATTCCTGAACCGGACAGCGAGGAGATGTTCGGGCCCCCACCGGAAGCTACTACGCCACCCCCGACGCAGGCGGAGCCAGAAGGGGGCGAGAGGGCGAGGACACCTACTACTGTGGCGCCGCAACTAACTGAGTCTACAGGTGCATGCATGGATGTGGAGGTGCCGACATCCGGGGAACCTCCGCCAGGGCCACCACCAGCAGAGGAAGGGACAGGTGAGAGAGATCCACTGCGAGAGGGTCACGAGGCGAGGACAGGGAAGCCACCGGGGGAGACGAGAGAAGAGAAGCGCGCGAGGGTGCAGGTACTCCTCGAGGAGCGATACCAGGAAAAGCTTAGGATGGAGGCCGCAGGAGAAGCGCCAAAGCCGCCAATCGACCCTCCGACGAGCGAGCAGAGGATTAGTAAGGCTTGGGCCAGCTATGAGAGCGAGAGGGATGCGGCTCGCCTGAGGTCGCGAGAGGTAGGACAGGGGAGTGCGAAATTGGACGAGGCATGAGAGACAAAGGACTTGGGATTTTCAGCCGCCAGGATGGAGATTGAGCGTGCAGATAGGAGAATAGGTGAGGTGGCGGTCTCGTCCTTCCAACGGTACTCCATGCTTAGCGATGAGTTGGCGGCCTCGAGGTTAGAGGTGGGACAGTTGTCCACCCAACTGGCAGAAGAGAGGGCAGAGAATCAAGCATGGAGGTCCCGTATGGAAGTTAAGGAAGCGGAATGGGAGAAGAGGCTCCAGGACATGGCGGCGATGGCAGAAGAGAGGGCAGAGAATCAAGCATGGACGGAGCAAAGCCGGTATGGTATCCAGGCAGAGGAGGTACAGGGGCTCTTTGGCCGGGAAGGGGCGACAGAGCCACCTCAGCAAGGAGGGATGGGGAAGGTATTCCTGGACCCAATAGAGGCAGCAGCACGGCGGGAGGCCGAGGAGGGGAGGTTCAGCTTCAGGATGCCCACGGAGTTGGCCTCGCAACAGGCCACCCCTATGACGATTGAGATCTCTGAGGGCGAGCCGGCGCAGGGACCCCAACCTCCAGTGGAGGAAGGGGGCCCCACAGAGGAGTCCCCTACGATCCTTTTGGAGGTGCAGGAGGGTGCCCTTACGGGAGCAGCAGCATCCACGGAGCAGCATCCACGGAGCCGGAGACAATGGGGGGAGAGGCGTCTCGACTGGATGAGTTAGTGGCAGCTATGGAGTTGGACATACCGTCAGGAGAGCCTCAGAGACAGAAGACCCCAGAGCGTGTGCCAGAGATAGGGGAGATGAGGACGCAGTTAGGCTCTTGGGCTACTGGAGCTGACTCAGAGGACGGCGATAGGGAGGTGTTTGATGCACCGCCGGTTGACATGGCTGCGCCACTGCTTCCCCACGAAATTTTGGAGACCAACGATCAACCGCCCGCATCTTCTGACCAGACAGACACATCTCCACCACCATGTTCAGACCACGTTACTGGCTACTACGTTGGCGGATTAACATAAAATGTCCTCCCTTCACTCAGTTGGCTATCCTTTGCTACGTGCGCATGTTGTTGCCCTCATCCATGCACAACACGGTTGGGTGGTCGAATCACTTCAGATGACACTTTCTCATTAATTTTTTTTGACAGCTTTCCTTTTCTGTTTTTTGATGTTGTGTGCATCTGCCACACAGATGGGTGAACAGCTGAGCACTCTTACTTCATTGCCCTTACAATTTTGTTTGGTTTCCTGTTCGAGTTTTGTTTGGTCGTCTCCTCCGTCAGTCTACGCACAACCACAACATATCAGGCCACTGTACAATACTTGCATGTCACCTATACCCACAACATATAAGACATGCTCTGCTTTGTCCTTCTATTTTGCAGTTGACTGGCCACAAAACGTTCTAATTTCGTTTGCCTGCGCTTTGCCTCTCTTTTCTGCAGTCGACTGAGGATTTTTTGTGGCTTGTTTTTGTCCATACTCAGCATTCTAGTTTCTAGCAGATGCTACGTCTTAGACCGCAATTGGGTCAACGCACCGACACTCCTCGCACGATTGGCTTCGCTGCAAGCATGCTTCGGTTCATTGGGCATGGAAGCCAAAGTGGTTTGCCCTGCAGAGTGAAGCATAGTCATGTCAGCACGCAAGGGGGGGAGGGGTATGCTTTCCTGTTCGAGTTTTATTTCGTCGTTTCCTCCGTCAGTCTACTCACAGCCACGGCATATCAGGTCACTGTACAATACTTGCATGTCACCTGTACCCACAATATATCACACATGCTCTGCTTTGCCCTTCTTTTTTGCAGTTGACTGCCCACAAAACGTTCTAATTTCGTTTGCCTGTGCTTTGCCTCTCTTTTCTACAGTTGACTGAGGTTTTTTTGTGGCTTGTTTTTGTCCATACTCAGCATTCTAGTTTCTAGCAGATGCTACATCTTGGACCACAATTAGGTCAATGCACCGACACTCTTCGTACGACTGGCTTCGCTGCAAGCATGCTTCGGTTCATTGGGCATGGAAGCCAAAGTGGTTTGCCCTGCAAAGTGGAGCATAGTCATGTGGTTTCCTATTCGAGTTTTGTTTCGTCGTCTCCTCCGTTTGTCTACGCACAACCACGGCATATCAGGCCACTGTGCAATACTTGCATGTCACCTGTACGCACAACATATCAGACATGCTCTGCTTTGCCCTTCTTTTTTGCAGTTGACTGCCCACTTTCTAGCAAATGCTACGTCTTAGACCGCAAATGGGTCAACGCACCAACACTCCTCGTATGACTGGCTTCGATACAAGCATGCAGGGGGGGGAGGGGTGTGGTTTCCTGTTCGAGTTTTGTTTCGGTGTCTCCTCCATCAGTCTACGCACAGCCACATGTCACCTGTACGCACAACATATGATACCTCCCTCTCGACAACCGCAGCCTCTCCACAGTGCCTGCAATACTAAGTACAATGGCCACCGGTAAATCCACGAGCTCGTGACCTGCTATCGACTACTACCGTCAGCTGGCAGTACAACACATCAGCCATCAACACCACCTCCGGTCCTTGGCTCGCCTTCAGCTAGTCGAAGAGGTAAATGGCCCCCTGGCTATCAGGCAACTGGGCCTTACATCAACCATTAGGCCATTTACTATCCCACAGTCTGTCCCTCACTGCTTCGCACTTCCGGGTGCGGTGCACAACTGCTGGGCTGGTAAGTATTCCAAACCCGTAGACCAACCCTAATGGCCGAATGGACGACCGAGTGTGGGCTGACTTCAGGATCCAGCACAGTTTGCCGCACCCGCGTATACTAGTAGCCAAGGCTTACCCCAGGAGGTCACAACCAATGAAACAAGGGTAAGCCCAATCTTCATCCCTCCTCTCTCGCTTCTGCCTTCGGCCCCAAACGCTGAGTAGAGTAGCACTACCGCCCATAAGCAGTCTTCAACCCTGTCCCCCGCTTCCTGCTATTTTGTGCACCAGAACAAATGACACTCTGGCCACTAGGTAGGTCCCTAGCCCACAGCTGCGCTCTTGCCCCTTCCTCCGTTCGAATGAGGAAGGCCGGAAGGCCGGACTGAGTCTTCTGTTCGTACGTGCTGGCTTACGGGTATGCCTCTGACCCCACAGCTTGCCTCACCCTTCTCTCCCCCGGTCGGACGAGCAGCTCACCATCCAACAGGTAAGCCTGCTGCTCCCCGCAGTCACTCCCTCGCCACCCTGACCGAGTCAGACATGCGAAGCTAGGACGAAACTCCCATCCGTAGATGGCCAGGCATACTACTTGCCCCTCTGCTGGTCCGCGTTGCTGTGCCCTCTAGTCCGGGCGAGCCAGCGAGGAAGGTGCAAAGTATGGCAACCCGGCTACTGCAACGATCACCGTCGGGATCACAACAGTGGCAGCAGGCGGTTGCCTTCGGAGGACGGGCGGCGGAGTGTCCTCCGGTCCACAGTCATACCCGAACAACAGGTAAACCCCCAACCCCAATATCCTGACTTCAAGGAAACCCGGTGACCAGGGACTGAGTGAATCTTTCACAACAGCGCGACTAGATTCATTCGCCTTTACAACGCTGTTTTTCTCCCCTCCTCGCGCAACCCCCTCCTTCCTAACTCCCTAATCACTAGCTCCCTCGCCATTCTGACCTCTCCATCGCGTTTGCCCCATGCAAAAACCTCTGATCTGCCCCCTTCTCCGCCCGTTTCCATCGAGTAATCCCTCACTTCTCCCGCAATCGGCCATAGCCCCGACGCACTAACCTTTCTACTAACCCCTCTTTCTACTAATCCCTCGCTAAATCTAACACTACAACTGCGATCGCCCGGGTCCAAAACCCTGATCAGAGTTCTTACCTTGCTCGATTCCATTGAGGATCGAGCGAGAACTCACTTTTCCCTCTCCCTTCTTCACTACCTCTGTGCATATCCACACAGTCTCTTACCCACTAACTCTATATTCCACTAATCTAATGCTCAAACTGACTTCGGAATCGGCCTCGCCACCCTTTAAAACCCCCGTACCAAGTCTTTTCCCGCCCGATTCCGTCAAGGAACGGGCGGGCTACATGGTTTTTACTCCCGCCATAACCAGCTTCCTCGGGTGAATCTGGCGTAGAGCATGTCCGGGTACATCCCAAATTTTCTGCGCCCATATTCCACATCTCCCCGTCTCTCTTTTCTTGCGCCCGCCACCCGTCGTCTCCCCTCTCTCGTACGCACCCGACACATGAGTCGGTCCAGGTTCACACGCATTCCTGGCTACTCCGCCTTGTGCCCGTCGCCTCACCGCGCCACAATGCCTGCGCCCTCGCCCGCTGCACTTCTTGCTCCGCCCACCTCAGCGCCTGTCTCCCTCCCGCAGCGACTAGCCCCACCGCATCCGTCTCCAACAGCCAGCGCCAACTGGATAGCGAAAAGCCCCAGGGCGCTCGACTCTCCTCTCTTGTCTGATCACCCGCTGCCACGGCCGATGTTGCCCCCCCCCCCGACTGCGCAGCCCGGCGGCTACCGACCGCTGAGCAAAAGTGTTCGGCCGTCAGGCCTTCTTCCTCTTATACGGGCCGTGTCTGTGCAGGGACCGTGCTAATCATTTTTGTATCGTTCCGATTCCAACGGATGTCCTGGAGGACTTGACCGGGGCAATGCCCCGTGGCTCCCCCAAAGGCCACGCGGCCTCAACCTTTCCTCCACTCCCTTCCGCTTTTCCTCTCCGCGCACGTACCCGACTCGGATTCGTACCGGGTCCGCCTTGGTCTGTGTTTCAGCAGTTCAAGGGCGTACCCACTGAGCCAGGCTCTTGGGCGCCTGCCACACCCACGGCAACGCGTCCTAGTCAAAACGGTGTCGGGTGCGGCCCCGGCGTAGTTACAAAAACAGTTTGTATTTGCACTTCAGGCGACCCCGCAAATACAACACCCCTCCCCCACGCGCTCCTACCGCAGTCTCGCATCCCAAAACGGGACGCGATAGCAACGGGACCCAAAACTATAACAAAGGGGAAATAAAATAAGACACCAGCAACGTCGGGGAACCGCGGGATCGTTGGCACCTTGCCTGCCACGTGGATTGGGCCCGCCGCCGCACCTATAAGCAAAACCGAGGGGGATAGCCCCACAGGGCCCTAAACCCCTCAGGCTTTCGCTCCCCGCTACTCCGCTGCCGCCGCGCCGATGCCCGCTGGCCTCGATCCCCGAACCTCCATAGTGATAGTCCGTTGTTGTAACCTATAGGGCTATGCCCAAACCTGAGACCAGCACCCGCAAAGTACCAAACAAGGTAGTGCGGCGCGGCGGTTTGGGCCAACAACCCGGCTGCATGGTTCCCAGCGCTTAGCCGACTTACTTATACCGCGTCGTAATTACCCCCGCGCGCCATCCTACGACACCCCGCTCACGGCACGGAGTTGCACCGTCGTTGCCGATATCGTCGTCGGGGTCGTTCTCCGCACGTGCGCTCGATTTGGTCAAGCGTAGCCATCGGACGAAAATATCCCCTAGATTCTAGTTTAATCAAGGGTAACCAAAAATAAAAACTTAAAGATAAGAATAAAAACAAACAGACCGGCGCCCACGCCCGTTTCGTAATCAATGTCATGAGGCGAATCACGCGCGCCTTAAACCTGCGCGCCCACGCACTCTTTACTCTTGTCAACCATCCAGTCAACGCAAACCACAGATGCAGCCGCGCGGAATACTTAAATCATAAACCAAGCCTATTTCCTGTCGCATGCAAAAACCAGGGCGAATACCCTTGTAAGGGTATTCACACCGACACCGTGCGTATCAACTGCCACCACG